ATGGAGTCACCGTTTGAATGCAGCAATTAGGAACTGTTGCCAAACAGTGGCCCACGACTGACCCATCCTCTGCTCGCCGGCCAGGTGTGTGGTCACAATAGATGACGTTGACCACTTCCACGCCGGGGTCCTGACCCAGCGCTCACCCCCTCCTCAATCCCGGCCCGCTCCCGGTCGAGTCCTACTCAGACAATGGCAATTGTGAGCGGCTGAGAATGTTGTCATATGTCGCCTCCGTCGCTGTCGTCGCACATCGGTGTGTTTCATGTAAACAAATAACAAATTAAATGAAAATTTAAATGAAGGAGAAGCAGGAGCAGCCCGACGATTTATGTGCCGGTTGCAGGATAAGCCCGAAATCGACTCAACTGGAGGGGATGGCTGGAAGGGGGAAACCTCTGGCTATGCCGTCGGTCCTTGGCCCTGGTTGTTTTTGTGGTTGATGGAGGCGAAACCCCGCTGATCGAATCAAATGAAGGGAACACACACAGATATGTGTACGGGTGGCAAAAAGGACAATCGAAGGCGGCCAGGATTCGCTTTGCTTTGCTTGCTTTGGCCAGAGGGTTGGTCTGTGTTACCCTCGTCCTTGTTTCTTGCTCCTTGCTCCTTGGTCCTGGCTCCTCGACTCCGGCAAGGCGGGTGGCAATCGTCCTGTAATTGGGATTTGTATTGAGTTATTATTTATTGCCCCTCGTTCTCTTCTCGGTCTGCGGTCGAGTCAAAATAGAGAAATTATCGGCAACAACTTTGCGTGTTGAATTGATTGATTTGCTTTCCTGGTGCCCAAGTCCCAACTGCAGTCTTCATTTGTATCTGTATCTAGTTATGAGAGGTATTTGGGCGGTAGTTCCCTGAAACTACAGTTTTCAGTTTATTTTCCGGAATTGTCCTAACACTTCAGTGTACTAAATATGTTTGCATGCACATATTTGGCACGAATCGAGAATTTTGTGCAGCTTGCGTAAAATACCATTTTTTCCTTATATTTTTATATTACCTATAGGCTGCAATCAGTACTTTTCCCATCACTATCTCTGTTTGCGCCTGAAGCCCTCGGAATTTGTTGAATGGTTTGAGTGTGTGGCATGCGGGTCCTTTGCATGTCAATAGGTGCTAAAAATTGACTTTCGAGCAACGCCCAGACGAAACCTGCTTGAAACTTAATTAACAAGCCTCCGCCGCAGATACAGATACATGTACTGTATCTCTGGCAACAGAAGCCAGGCCCCATCAAAAGATAAACCCCTGACAATCACTCAAAGCTGGAAGGGGCATGCATGGGTTAGGATCCGAGGACTTCGATGTGGAGGGCATGCAAAATGCAGCTGCAGCCAGCGGCCGTGGCTGCATTTACATACTTACAAGGAAGCCACAGCCAGTCGAATGATATATAAAAACACAAGAAATTTGACATGAACTGTGGAGATTTCAACGCAAAGATAGCGCCAAAAAGATGCCACCGAAACGGAGAGGAGTTTGGCCGGGCTCCTTGAATAATGGCGGCCTCAATCAGGACCGAACCCAAGCAATTGTAAGAAAAACTCAAGAAGGGCAGACGACGAGTGGAGTGGAGTGGAGTGGATTCTTTGGGTCTGGGAAAGGTCTGCTGCTGCCCTTCGTCATTGTGGTTTCTGGCTGGCGAACGGCGATGAGGGACAAAGATGAGGCGATTGCTAGATTTGATAAGCAAAATCATTTGTGATAAAATAAATAATTGAGTTCGTTTGCATATCTCGGGAAAGCATCTCTCGCCGTACCCCAGCAAACGCATTCAAAATCTACGTATTTACCCGTAATAAATTCATAGGCACACTCATAACTTTTTACCAATTGTGTCACAGATTAGACGGTGCCCCCTTTGGGACAGACTTCAATCAAATCGGACGGCTATCGGCAGCTACTATCTTGCGGATCCCGATCCCCACCTTAAAGTTAAAGTTAAAGTTAGGCCCCCGTCCATATGGCGCACCTCCAATTGCGATAAAGCGTTAAAATTAATTATCGAGTGCCAGCAGCGCAGCCCAGTGCGTTGTGCTGTCAAATCTTTATCGCATAATTGATTTCATAGCTACTGCGTTTGCTTTCGGCGCTGCTTTCCTCAAATTACATGCCACATCGGCCCTGCCAACCCAAAATTTCTGATGGCCCCAGCAATTGGGGTAAAAAAGACCAAGAAAGTACCAAAAAAAAAAAAAAACAATAACAAAATAAGTGAGACGAGAAGAACAACAAACGGCAGCCACAAATCAACATCGCGATAAGAAACTGTGATTTTTATTTTTTGAAAAACTGATTTTTGATTTCCTGTACAATTTTGATTAAAAACGTGTGGCTGTCTCTGTCTTCGCGCCTGTCATGTCGTCCCAACTTGATTTTTGTTTTTGGCCTTTGGTGGGGAACCTTCTTCGTTGACTGTAAATGAATGGCTGAAAGACAAATTGAAAACAAAGTCTAATCAGTTGAGCAATTGAACAATTTCATGTACCCCTTACTTAGCGGATTAGGTGGGGGTTGCACGTATGGGTAGTTCTGGTATTATTTGTGATCGTAAACATCGACTTTGAATGCCTGAGCTAATTATGGAAATAACTATACATTGTTGGTGATAGTTAGATATTATTATATATTATATATAACTATACATTGCTGGTGATATTTAGATATTATTATAGAAAATTATGTAGCCGTTCCAAGTTTCGTTTGTTAGAAAGCCCTTAAATAATATAATTCCCAGCCATGAACTCCAAGTTCTTACCCATCCTACAAATGCTGTGTATCTTAGGCTATGTATCTGAAAAGTCCAGGGTAACAACTAGTCATCCAAAACGCCATCCATGCTGAAGGGCTTCTTATGGTTTCCATTGTTGCTACTGGTGGCATTGTTAAGAGCGCGTTTGGAAATCTAATCACTGACAAGCTATGGCTGCCTGTATTCGATAGATAGTTGCTGATGGCACACACTTGAGGGTACAGATAGTGTGGGGGGAGGGGGCTCCAAATTGATTCGGACCGAGTTGAGAAATATTTGGAGATTTGGCAGCCGATACGGCTTATGCAAGGTGCGAGGTAGGAAAGTTACCGATGGATTGTTACCGCGATATGGCCTTTGTAAGCCCCCAAGACAGTGCAATATCCTTAAGCCCTGCACTTCCCACTCACACCTTCAACAAAAAGGACCACCATGTGTCGTGGCAACTCCTGTTCATTGCTGCGGCCTTTTGTGTCTGGCGTAATTAAAACTTAAAACGCTTTTTGTTTTGCAAGCAGCACTCGAACCATTGTTCGCCAACCGAGAAGTTCACAACCCACCGCCCGCTACCCTTATTCTGCATGTCTCGACCACAAAAAAATAAAGAGCCAAAAGGGGGGAGAAAGAAAAGTATCTCAAGTGTGCTCATTGTGAAAATTCCAATAGAGAGCGTGCGACTTTGCTGGCATTAAAAACCCCCGATTGTTGCCAGCGAACTTTGCCACCCGGCAGGAGTTCATTCAGGAGCAGTAACTGAATCAGAACCAAAGGAGCGGGATGCAGTCCTCGAGTTTCCCCGGTTCAAGTGGGCCACGGAGCACGTGCCCCGGCATGGAGAGTCAGTTCAAGTGCGCCAATATGTTGCAGCTTCGATTCGGGGCACATGCCACCACACGCAGCTCATGTGCACCTTTGCATCTTTCGCAGTGCCAAAAACTTTATTTGGACTTGGAAAAGCACATTGCTTGTTACTAACTACTACTGCTTCTTTGAAGTCCTTATTGATTGATTGAAAGGACGAGCTCCTCGCAGCTCAGGACAACTCCTCACAAACGATACTGCCAATGCAAATAGGGAACGCAAGTGGTGCCAATAGGATTTTGATTTAATAACACATTTTGGGTTGGCCTACCTGTGGCCCTGTGCACCTGTAATTCCGGCGCATAAATCATCAATGCAACTGCAGCAGGCCAAATAGAAATCGGCCAAAATAGGCGCCCGCAGAGATGTACGCTTTTCCCTGGCCTACGCCCTCGTTTCCCTTCGACCAACTCGATATATATATACTCGGAATTTACCTGAGCCTGTGACGAAATATTTAGTCGAAAATATTGTCCCTAATGCTGGCGCCAGACAAGTCTTATGCTGATGATGATGACAGACTTAGGCACCGTACACAAAACAAATCCAACCTGTCACACTAACGACTTCTGCGAAGACAATGGACCCGGCCTGCTCTTCTCGGCGTCCTGGCCAACTTCCCCTTCTCCAGCTCGCAGTGGCTCGCAGTCCGCACTTGGCTTTGTCTATAAGCCAAAAGTGTTGCACTAGTTTCGGAGGGACTACACCTGAGGGACAAAGGGCACCGGGATCTGGAGGGCTTTGTTTTCTCATTCGTTGCCCGATTCTGCTCCTCGGCTGCTGTGTGGAAATTGTGCATGCATTTTATGGTGCAATTCCTTTGTCCTGCCGGCGAAGGCAGGCCAATATTTTTATTGCCCATGTACCATATATACGCCATATACCCGCACATAGTATCGGCGTTCGGGGCGAACAAATAGCTGCAACAGCCGCTAAGAGTTATGACCCGGCGCCTAGGAGCTCATCTCCCGAACAAAGGGCTGTGAAAGGCACTTTCGGCTCGGGATGCTGCTAAATCGGATGGGTTGCTACATATGATGTACATATCATGTGGCGATCGTGCCTCGAAGATCTTTGATTGCAAGTGGCGCAAGCAGTTCACATGCTTGCCACACAGGTCACTTGTCAAAGGCCGTATTTGGTAGGCACTAATCAGTACGAAAATACCTAAACAGATGAGTGTAGACTGATTGAATGCAACCAGTATACTAAATAACTTGTAAGCACAGTTTATTATCAGATATCGTAAGCAAGCTACAAGTTACGCAGGCGAAATTACATTGCATGACACTCTGCTATTTGATAAACATTGTATAGCGAGCTACAATGTATGATTTAGTGATACCTTAGCCCTATAAATATCAAACAAACAATTCTGCGCTTATACAGTTTTAAATTCTATTACAAACTGGTAAAACAATGAAGGGGATTCTGTTTTGTGTACTAATGTCGCTGATTTTCAAGGCTTACGTAAGTCATTACATTTCCACACACTCGTATCTTCCGTAATATTTGACAATTGATTTTCAGGCACTGCTTCCGAAAACCTATGAAGGGCGTTTCGTATCGCTGACCTTTAATAACACCAAGGTCTTGGATATAAGCCAAATTAAGTTATTGGGACGAGAACGCGTGCTAAATGGCACTTTAGAGTTGAAGGAGGATCTGGATGAATCAGTTGTGTTTGCCGGTGAAACTTTCATCGATTCCATGGGCGATGGCGAGTACAAGCAGCTTCCCTTTACCGCTCCCAAGCAATCCATCTGCAAGGCATTGGCGGCCTATTGGTTGTACTTTGAGGACAGTGTGAAGTACGGAGTAAACACGGACTTTCCCGGTCATACCCACCCGTGTCCCATACCCAAGGGAAAGTACTACGTAAAGGATGTAGTCATCAAGCCCGACAAGTGGCCAGCTATGATGCCGCGCGGCTTTGTGAAGGCCGTGGGCACCGTTTTCAAAAACGACGAAGTTATTGGCAGTGCAGAAATTGTTGCACAAATTACCGACTTGGCTTAGGCAAGAAATAAAGGAGAAAGTTATTACTAATACCAATTCTGTAAGCAAGCAGATCGCCATTGCTCTACTGTTAATGTTTTATTAGGAATTCCACTGAATTAGACTATGTTTGGTATATAAAGTTCCCCATGCGTAGATGCTTATCAATACCATGAAAAGGAAACACATTTCCGAGGGATTTCCCTTTATCGAGATGGCCAAGTGCCAAAAACACTTATCACAATGAATCCAAGATTCTGGAAACCCCCTTTTCAGAGTGCCAAGAGATTAGCATATCTCGAAGCAACGATCTGCACTCGTAGACAATTTGGCTGGACTTGAAATCTGAAGATCAGAGCAAAAACAGCCGCCAACACCTACCTAAATCCACCGATCGATTCAGCTGCCTTGATAGGGAAATCCTGCCAAATGATTTCCAGCGAAATCTGATACGACCTGGAGCGATTTTCCGGGCCAGGATTGCGATTGCGATCACTTGTCCGATACGGAGATACGTAGATCAACCTCAAAGGATCTCCGGCAAGGATGATATGCACATTTTCGGCTAATCCCTGCCCGTCTTCGTCTCGTTTCATTTCGTTTCGGCCAACGCCCAGCACAGACTGGAAATCGACATCGGGAATTGCCGTCGCCGTTATGGCTTTATGCTAATGATCGGTTCTGGGCCAGAAACTAGACCAAAACGAGGAGGACCGCAGCGCTAAAACCACTCATGGCTCATTGTCCGGCGATTGTTTCGTCAAAACGAAACCAGAAAACAAGAGGAAGCCGAGACTAAATATTGCAAATCTGGCCGGGGCGACTGGGCCATTGTTTTGGCCTGGTTGGCAGAGTGGCGAGTGCGAAAATAAAAATCTCTTAATCGGCACTGGCGACAGCATTCAATGAGTTCTGCACTGCCTCCGGCTGGAAAGGAGAGGACTGGCCAGGCCAGGCAAACTGGCACTTGAAACTTGACAATATCAATTTGTACGTACAATGGCCTAATCTGATAATCAGTGCAAACATGTCCTTTGTGTCCATTGTGCGTGGAACAATGCAAACGGCATAGTTGTGCGCCAGGATTAGGTGCCAAAGCCAGACAAAGTGCAACAAAAAAGAGGAGAAACATTGAAAACTTTGTATTTGGCAAACTGCCCGTCTGAAGTTCGAGTTCATTACGCGGCTCTATCAAATGATTAATGGGCATTTTATGGTAAACTCCCTCGGCCCCGGCGATCCCCATAAAACAAGCGATCATAAAAGGCAGACAAGTAAAAAGCAGCCAGTTCCGAGATGATCGCTGCATGTAAAATGAACTCGGGACTCCGAACTCCGGCTTGTCAATCAAAACTGCGAGGCACACAACATAAAAATGATCGACAACAGTGACACTTTGGGCGGCAGGAATGTCGCGGATAAGCATCAATACAAACACACCGAGATTGGGGGGAAAACAAGGTTCATTTATCATCGCACAGATTGGGGAATGGGCATCCGAATGGGAACTACCACGCCAGGATGGTAGGTGTGGCCTATGCCCAGCATGAATTAATCATCGCACAAATCAAATTGAAATCACGGCGGCAAACGAAGAATATGTACAAATACAAATATCATAACAAATGCTGCAGACAGGCATTAATGAGCCCCGACAGTCCTGCCCATTAGAAATGCGAGTGTATCTTTCGATTGGAGGGGTTGAGTTTCGGCGAGATACTCGTGCACCGCAAATTGACTTGTTTGGCCGGGTTGAAGTCGACTCCCCACAAATTAGCTGCTCAATTGGGTAATAAAACCAAATGTGCCAATTGTGAGTGCGCAAAGTTTTCCCTTGGCGAGGACTTCGCTTGTAAGTGCCCCAGAAAACAATTGTGCAATTGCATTAATTGCATTGTCGAATGAAAACAAAAGCCACAGGACATCGCCTCAAATGGCTGTTACATATGCTGGCATTTGTAGGGGGTTTTCATTGTGCGTTTGGTTTTGGGTTTTATTTTTTTGGTGGTTAAAGATAGCGTCCACTCAATTATGTCATATCGGCGATACTAAATGGACTTTTAACTTGCTTTGATTCTATAATTTGGCCCGCTCTGCTGGGCTTACCTTTTATGGCCGGCCATTAAAAGGGCCAACGAGCTTGCTCAGATTTATCAGCGTGCACGCCATAAAGTAACAAATAAATTTAAATACTAATAATAATAAAAAGTAATACACGCACCACACACACAAACACACACACATTCGCCCTCCTTGCGGTGGCGGTGGCATCCTCCAAAAGGATACAACATGCCCTCTACGCAGGACCAAGCACATTTATGGCCAGCAATTAAATGGGGCTGCCATTTGTTTTATTATAACAGCGAGCGGCATTCAACATCGCCATCATCAGGAGCAAAGCAAAGCAAAGTAAAGCAAAGCAGCATCGGCATCAGCGATAAGGCTCCGTTTTATTATTATCCTTTATGCTTTTCGTGTGCTTTTTTTCGTCCTTCGGGGGTCTGAGGGCTCCCCCTCAGGGGGCGTGGCCCGAACTGGGGGCAACACACATTAGAATAGGCAAAGCCCAAACAGACAGCTTAAATAACATCGCCACATGGACATTTCAATGCGCTGCAACTAGTTACAGCCCCACTTTCGCTTTGAAATTATATTTCAAAGTATTGTACAAATTGTTAGATTTATCTACTTAAAACACTTAAAGTTGTTAAACACATTTACCCACTACTTTTCCTCACAATTTTCAATCGAATCTGTATCTGTATCCTTGCTGATTGAATTTTATTGTACATTGCTAATATGGCAGCCGAAGCACTCGACTTTTGGCAGTGCATCGGAAGACAAGGCCATAAAAAGTCGCAATGCGCCATAAAAACAGTTAAAGCCAAGACAAAAGTCGCACACACAAATGCGATTTGGGAGTCGTTTAAGGCGCGCATGTGTGTGTGTGCGCCGAGTCCTGTACAAATTAAGCCTTTCTACGCAAACAAACGAGCGCACATCCTTGTCGAGCACACATATAGAATATATAACAAAATAAAGCGCCACCGATGAGATCTCTGCGGCCCCCTTAACCCTCCCACGCCCCTGAGCATGTGCAAAGTAGGTTGCTCAAATCGCACACAACATAAAACATTTTTAATGCCAAAGAGTAGCAAACAAAAAAAAACAAAAAAAAGGAAACCAAAAGAGCAGACAATAAAAAAGGCTCACAAAACGAGCATAAAAATGGCAGCTGGCAAAAGAAAATGGCCGCAACGTGAAGCCCCCATTTTCCTCGGTATACCCCCCAACCCCCTCCTCCCGACGCCCACAGCCCCACTCCCCTAAAAGTCAAACACCCCCGCCATCCAATTGGCGGTCATACGTACAGGATATTGTGTAAAAAGGATTAATGGGCCCCTTTTCTCTCTTTGTTTTAATTGCATTTGAGGTTAAGGGGAGCAGGGGATTTGGCCAAGGGGACTGGGCCCAAACGGAATGTAAAATGCCCAAAAGCGACGGAAAATAAATGTATATATTACTATCAGAGGCGTTGGCAGTCGAGGGGGTTTGATACCGAACAAAATTATCAATAAGGCTTAATAAATCTAGCTAATCACATTTTGTATTATATTTTATATTTATATTTCTGCTTTACTAGCCCCTTCACACTACGCCCATGGTTGTTGGGCAACCGGCGAATAAAATATATATTTGATGCCATAAAAATGTCACAGACGCCTTGAGTTATGCAGCTCGACTGTGGCTTATGTGGCGCCCTCAGCCAAATCCCATTCCCGGATCCATTTCCCATCCTTTGTGCCAATGGTCATTGCCATTGCCACTTGGTTTTGGCCCACAAAAGACCGGAGCGTAACCCTTTTGTTTTGCACGGTTTTAATTTATATACGACTGCGAACGAATTTATGGCTATATTATATAATTGTATTATGTAAGGTCCTTCCTCTGGTAGTTAAGATTGCGGATTTCGTAATTTGGAATGTGAGAGTTCTTATCTGATTTGTGTGCCTTGCGATGATCATGTAAAAGAAAGGCATTTCGTAGGTAAATTAAGTTTATACAAGATTTCATTTCAGCATTAAAACTAAAGCGTTTTCAGTTTTCCTCTTATACTAATCTTGCCAGCTGGGAATGTTACCACTCATTCAATTATGCTCCACTTGCACTAAGCATCTTCTCCGCCAGCTTGCCAGCTTGCCCGACCTCTCCATTTGTTGGCCCAACACCTAACTAACTGGGCCCAAATCAGCGCATTCATCTGGGCCCACGCTGCCAGTGCCGCCATTGCATGCCAGCCACTCTCTGATTTTATTCCAGCATTTGTTTTCCCATAATTTGTGTTCATTTTATGCGGAGCCTGTGTCTCTTAGTTAAACATCTCTCATTTATATGCCCCATGGAACGGACTTAAACTAAGCGCGGTAGCAGTTTAGCTGTCCGCACACGCAAATTTTCCAGGCGCACACCTGCGGTTTCAGCCAAACTGGGAAGCTGCTTCCGAGGTGGGGAGACTGCGTCCCCTGATCAGCGAAAATGGGTGGCTAGGGGGGAGCAGCTCCTTAATTTATGGCGCTTGTCATATTTTGTTAGACACGGCGATTAATTAAAGTGCAGGGCCCGAGGTGCGCGCCAAAAATAAAACCCTTAGCACAGCCATGGGCTAATTGAAAACCGCGCCAGGAGATGGAAACCAGAGGCAACCGCTTATTAAAACAGGCAAGAGCAAATAAAAACACGAGGAAAGGAGACCAACTCAAGTGGCGCTGTTTGAGTAGTTGGCTAATAAATATCCCCTGTCAGTCAGTTGGTAGGTTGGTCGGTTGGTCGGTGGCTAAGATACGCCAGCATCCAGGCAGCCACTCAATGGCCAAGTCATCGATATTAGCCCGATTCCGCGTAGCCTCCAATCCACAAAAACAAAAAAACGCCAATCATCGCAGGAGCGGCCCTGAGTGGCAGTCGAGCGGCCGTAAAACCACGAAACGTATATACATTTAAAAAGTAAATTGAATTTAGTG